TGTCTGCGCCATCCGTGCCCGACAATATTATGAGATGACCCTTCTCCCATTGCGCTCTGCTCTCTGCGATCCATTTTTCTTGCAGGCAAAATATCCCAATCTGGTAGACATCCATCTGCCGAGTTAGTGCCAAAATCTTTAGGTCTGCGACGCCTTCGACATTCCAAGTGCCACCTGTCAAAGCTCCTCAAACATCGCGGCCGCCTCTCTGACCTTCCACGCGCAAGCTTTCTTTGGCGTGGGGCGAAACGTCGCCCACGCGCCCTCGGCGCCATCACTGCTCAAAGCCCTTGCCCGGGCCTTTGCTGGTCCTGGCGCGGCTCCTAACGAGTCGGTCCTCGGCGCTCTCTTTGATCTGAGAGTTCTGGAGGTCGGCCCAGTCCGCCCACTCCTCGTTCGCCCAATCGATCTTCAAGCTGTTCCCGACGACACTCGCCCTGGCCACCTCCTTCCCCTCCACCTTCGCGGCGCATGCGCCCCGGTCAAAGGGCGCGCATTCCTTCGCGAACCTCCACTCGATCAGCTGGCCCCGGAGATTCCGGAGAAACCCCGGCGCGACTCGAACCTCGATCGGAGCTTCAAAGTAGCACCAAACCCTGCCCTTGAAGTCTTGCCGCTGTTCTCCGTGTTTCCCTTGTCCCACATGACGTTGATCGCCGCGGAGGCGCCCGCGTCGCCGGCAAACTTCACGAAGATCAGCCCCTTGAACTCCACGCCCTGCCTGCGCGCATCAGTCGGAGAAGTTCCCGCGCGCGCCCGTCGTAGGAGCACCGTCCGAGACCCCCGACAACGACAGTGGCGTGGCCGCCCATGCCCTTCCCGATCTGGCTGGTGCTGCTGCTGATTCTCATCTTCCTCATCCTATCCTCGATCATCTTGGCAATCTCCTCCCCCGTGGCCATCTTGCCGGCGCTCTTCAGCGCCTCCTCGACGTTCCCCCTCGCGACGACGGCCTCCTTGAGCTTCTGGGCATCATTCTCCGCCGCGCTGACCGCGGCCCTGGCCTGGTTGGCGGCCTCCCTGGCTGATTCGGCTGGCCTCCGCCACCGCCTCCCTCGCATCCTCTGCGCTACTCTTGATCATATTCTTCATCTCCTGCATGTCCTTCATCATTGCCTTCATCATGTCTTTCATGTCCATGTCCTCCACGTTCGTGCTGACTCCTCAGCTTCCTCCGCTGCCCATCACCCCCCTCTCCTTGTGGCCCCCCCCCATCTCCGCGAGCTCCGGGTCCGAGTCCGCGAAGCCGACCTTCGCGACTGTCTTGTCTGGAGCCTCCGGGTTGCTGCCCTGGGGCCTCAGCTTCCGCGCTTCGCCAGTGGCTCCTGGGTCAAGGCCCCTCTTGGCCAGGAGTGGCGGCGGCTGCAGCCCAGGCGTCCGGCGGTAAGAACTGTCCGCTCGTGCCCTTGACGCCCTTGCCGCTGCCGTCTCCGGGAGCTGCAACATCTCCTGCGAGGAGCTGCCCCTGTGGGGCGCCAGGCGCTGGCGACATCTCGGGAGGCGTGATAAGTGAGTAACTGGACAAAAAAGAGAGCACCACTGGAATTACCTAATACAAAGAGCACCATCGACAGCATCATCATTATCATCCATCACCAGCAGCAGCATCACCAGCACCAGCATCATCATCGACAGCAGCGTCAGTGGCATCAGCATCATCATCATGTCCTTATTCCTCCTCCTCCTCCTCTCCCCCTCCTCCTTCTTACCCCTTTCTTCATCCTCCTCATCATCCTTGTCGTCTTTTCGTCATCCTCGTTTTGCCTCCTCCTCCTCTTTTCTGTCCTGCTGATGTTCATATTCCTCGTCTTATCCCTCTTGCGATTCCTCTTCCTCCTCGTTTATCATCGTCCGTGAATTATTCCTCCTCCGCCTTTTCCTCTTTCTCTTCCTCCACGTCATCCTCTTCATCAACAACAGCATCACCAGCATCACCATCACCAACATCATCATTACCGTAGCCATCATCATCACCGTCGTCATCACCACCATGAGCATCAGCATCAGCAATATCAGCATCGTCATCATCATCGTCGTCATCATCATCATCATCCCTCTGCTTGTCCTTTTCTCCCTCCTCCTCCTCCTCCTCCGCCCCCCCCCCCCTCCCCCCCCCGCCTGGCGGCCCGGCCGCGGCCGCTCCCTGGCGGCGCCGCGGCAAACCAGCGCGTCGCCGCCCGCCTCTGTGACCCACGGCGGCGCTCCAGAGCCGGCGGCCGCGCCCCGCCGCGACGGCCGTTCGCCGGCTTATCGCCTGGCGCCCAGCAGCTGCGAGCGCCAGTTCGGCGCTTCTGGCCGCCGCGCGCCGCCGCCGCCCCTGCTTGGCCCTCGGGCCGCAGCCGCGGCGCGGCGGGCGACGCTGCCCAGCGATCGCAGTGAAGCGCCCGAAGCCCGGCCGCAAGCAGCCTGCCCGCCAGCCGCTGAGCGCCCCTGGGGCCCCAGCGGCTTGCCGCCCCGCTCAGACGGGCTCGCGCTCCTGCTCAGTTCACGCGCGCTGCGGGCCGCCTGCTCGGCGCCGCCTGCCCCGCGGCGTGCTGCCCCGAACGATGAGCGGGAGGCTTCCGCGCTGCAGCGTCGCTGGCGAGCCGCCGCCAGCACGGCGACGCCGCCGCGTGCCCAAATGCGGAGGAACACATGCGCCTCCGTCTCAGCGCGCCCTAAGGCCTCCGCCGCGTCGAAGGCCGCGAGAGCTGGGCCCGGGCAGCGCCGCCGCTTACGTTCCCCCCGAGCCGCCGCGGCAACGCCATCCTGGACAGCGCGGTCATAGCCCGCCGGCGTGTCTCGACGGAGCCGTCCGCGCGCCGCCGGTCCCAGGCGGACTCGAACTGCTCCGCGCGCGCGCTCGTCGCGCCCAGAGCGCGCAGACAGCGGGCGCCATCGCCCCGGGGCCGCGGCCAAGTCGACCCCGCCGCGCTCGCCGCCCCCCCCGCGCCGGGGGCAGGCGGCGCTGCCAGCCGCAAGCGCAGGTGATTGCAAGCGCAGCGCCAGGGCTGGGAGGAAGCGCGCGTCCGCCATCACGCGGTCCTCCTCCGCCCGCAGCAGGGCCAAGTCCCCGCGCCATTCCCGCTGGCCGAGCGTAAAGCGTTGCTGGGTACGGCGACAGGGCGCCCGGGAACCGCTGCCAGCGCGCGGGCTGCCCCGGCGCCCCGAAGGCCCGCTGCGCCTTGGCGCGCGAGTGATAAGGCACAGAACCAGTCCGTGCTACGCACCAAGAACGCGCGGCCCGCGCCCTCGGCATCCCGCCACGCCGCCGGGCAAGCCTTCTGGAAAAAACATCGACGAGCAAGCCTACAGACGCTGGCCAAGCACGTCTGCCACGCCCCCACGACTGCAGGCAGCCTGCCGTGCGCGAGGCCCTGGAGCCCGAGCCCCCCGGCTGCCTCGCGCGCGTGGCGGGGAACCCCCGCGTCGCAACCTTGAAACCACGCCTCGTCTAGCAAGTGCATACTCGCGCGGTGCAGAACCGCGCCGTCGGCTGAACGACCCCGCCCGTCCTGGGCGCGCAGCCCGTGTCCTCCGAGCTGGCGGAAGGCCGCGTGGTGGGCGTCGAAGTAGTCCCGGGCAGCCTGCGGGGCGGCAGCCGGCTCGCCCTCGCTGACTTCGCCCTTGACTGCCCCCGCGGCGTGGCGCACGTGAGGGAGAATGTTTCCATCGCGCGTGCGAACTCGGAGCGACGTTGTAGCCCCAGAAACCAGTCGGAAGCGAAACGGTAAGATCCAATCTCGTTCAACACTCCATACAATCTGAAAACTTTGGGCCTCCTAGTCCTTCTCGCATTTCGCTCCTCCGTCTTCCTCCCACTCCTCCACCTCGCCCACTGGAGGAAGGGAGGGACGAAGAGGAGGAGGAGGAGGAGGAGGAGGAGGAGAAGGAGAAGGAGGTGGAGGAGGAGGAGGAGCAGCGGGCATCGCTCTGCCCCGAATTCGGCCAAAGGGCATGGTGGCTCGAGCTGTGAGCGCGGCAGATCGGGGAGGTGAGGAGGAGGAGGAGGAGATGGAGGAGGAGGAGGAGGAGAATCAGGAGCAGAAGGAGGAGAAGCAGGAGGAGGAGGAGGATAATGAGCGGCAGGAGGAGGAGAGGGAGGAGGAAAAGGACGAGGAGGAGGAGGACGACGAGGAGGAGGAGGAGGAGGAGGAGGAGGCGGAGGCGGAGGCGGACGAGGAGGAGGCGGCGGCGGCGGGCTCATCAGGAACGCGAGTCTGAGTTCGGCCGAAACTGAAAACAAAAAGTTAGCTCTGGTTCCTCGAGTGCGCATAATATGCGGTGACTTAGCACGTGGGGGGGCTCACGCGCTCCTCGACTCACAGAACGGACATATCCCTGTGGCCAGAAGCGGGCTGAGCTCCACAAAATTCTTCGGGAAACTACCATCGAGAAAAACTACCATCGAGAGAAAGTCGAAAAGTCAGATAGACGTGGGGCAGCCAGCACCCAGGGTCCAGTTAAACACCGCAGACCAGGGGCCCCAGGACCAAACAACGCTAGAGAAGAACGCAAAACACTGGCGCCCACCAAATAGAGGGCGCGAAAGGGCAAAAAGCCACCTGAACAGTGCCAGGCTACTGATATTTCCTGGGGGCAGCCCCGATCAACCTCAAGATGCTGGCATTCAAGCTGGAGGAGGAAGTGAGGCGAGGAGGGCCAGACCCGAGGCTCGAGCGAGGAGGAGGACGAGGGGGGAGAGGAAGGGTTCCAGCCGCCTGCGGCGGAACTACTACTTGAGAATTCGACTGTATCACTGGCGCCCTCTCTCCTCCTCCCCGGCCTATCGAACTCGCAGCAGAGGGAGGTGCAAACAGAGAGGGAGTAGCTATCTGCGAAGCGGTGCTGCCACTGGGAGGTGCCGTCAAAGTCGCCGCTCCTCTACTAGTAGCTATCTGCGATGCGGTGCTGCCACTCTGTGGAGGTGCCAAGGTCGCCGTCCCTCCACCAGTAGCTATCTGCGCCGCAGATCTGCCACTCTGTGGAGTAGTCGATGACGTCGGAGCAACATCTAGATCGTCTCTGCGCTGTCCAGGAAGAGCTGCATCAGGCGCTCGTGATGTGAGCGAGGTGGCGTTCCCTTCATGAGCTTTCCCCCGAGCTGCTTCAAGGAGTCGAGCAACTGCGTCTGCACGCCTGATCCCTGCGCCTCGAGATGAATCTTCATCAGCTTGCGATCGTGAGTGTACGATATCTTGCAGTGTCGGATCTGCATGCACAGGCTGTCGTTCGTGATGGTTCCATCTGCTTTGATGGTGTCGAGGTACTGCTTCAGGGCGAGATGATTGGCGGCTCCTACGCGTTCTCCCTGCTGCACCACTCCGCCCACTAGCGCCAACCACAGGTGGGGGTGCGGCACGCCCAGCTTCTCCAAGTCCTCCACTGGCTGCTGGTCTCGGATCTCTTGAGCGTGCTCGCGGCGAATGCGATTGGCCTCGTCGACGTAGAACTTGGCTGTGATCCTCATGGCCTTGCACACGTCGTGAACTCGATCCAAGTGGAAGATGTGGTAGATGGCTGCTTCCAGGGCCGAGAGACCCTGTATGTTCTTCAGCATCGCGCGCACCATCACAGGGAAGATGGCCTGGATGAGCTCGACTGGGAACGCCTCGTCGCCCAGGCCCATCACGTCGCCTCGCTGCAGCCCGTACGTCTGGTCGGCGTTCTGGAAGAGCTGGCTCAGCGCGTTGGCCACTCCCTGCTGTCCATGCTGTGGTGGTTGCTGCTGCTGCCGTCCGCCCTGCTGACCTCCCCCACCAGCGACGGCCGCCACCCCTTGAGGGCGGACCGCTGGCGGTGAGCCTCCCCCTGCAGGGGCGCGGGGCGGGGGCCCCCGAGGTCCCCGCCGTGCGCCTCTGCCTCGGTCTCCGCTGCGGGACCTCAGCGCGCTCTCTCGTTCTTCTGCGCCTTGGCTCAAAGCACGGGTTGCCAGGTCCATCCCACTCGGTCGATACTAGATCTGGCGGTGGCGGGGCGTGAACGTCACGTATGTGTCGCTGGAGTTCGGCAAGCGACTGAAACTGATCAAGGTGTCTCGAGCCTGGTGGCATACACTCGACAAATGCACCGAACGCAGCATCGAGGTCCTGACAAATGGGGCAGAAGAGGTCCTCAGGTTCCTGAACAGGTGGGGCATAAGGGCTCTGGTCGCAGAGACACCTGCCACATTTCAGCGATTGCACCACGTGTCGTCGGGCAGTGACCTGGCTCTTGAAGGTGGACATGCAATACAAGCACTGATTGGTGATCACGAGCATGTGCGCTGGAACCCGATGCTTGTGACTGGGGTGGTGGCACTGATGGGCCACAAGGGCCCCTTTACCGTAGAACACCATCCCACACCTCCCATCCTCCCCATCTCCAGGTAGTTCGCAAACAAACTCATCAGGATCCTCTGGGGCGCCAGCACTGGGACCTTGGGCTCCACGAGGGGGTCCACGGAGCTCTGGAACCTCTCGGAGCAATCGGGGATCAAAGCTGAGGAACTTATTAGCGACGACCGACCTCGTAAAGATATCACGAACAGAATAGTTTTCCACGAACTCCTTACCTCCGCGAAGGTACCGTAGCGCCTGTACATCTCGCTCCAATTGGAGGGCCCACGGGTTGGCGGTGCTAGCAACTCGGCCGTCCTCTCTGAAGGTCGGCTCTTCTCCGAGGCCGTCGAGGCTGCCAAAAAGCACGGTGAGCGGCTGCGCACTGTCTTCGGGATAACGAGCGTATCGTTGCCACTGTCTGAGGCGGCGCACAAGGAGCTCCGCTCTTGAGTCTGTGATCCTGAGTTGCCTCAACACCTGGGCCTCTGAGAGAGATCGATACTTCGGGCAGGAACCAGGAGGGGCGCCTTGCTCAAATTCAGGACGACGATCACGGAGCACAGCCCGAGCGAGGCCCTGCACGACGGAATCGAGTTTCCTGAGGTCGAGCTTGGAGGGGAGGTACGATTCGAGGCCCGAGTAGGCCGCCGCCAGGATCGTTCCCTTGAAGGCCAGTCGTTTGAGGCGAATCGACCGAGTGATGTCCCAGAACCTGCCGAGCCTCCTCCACGCCGCCCTCGTAGCCTCCACCCTCCTCTTCATCTCAGCTCCACACCCCGCCGTCAGCTGTTCCATCCCTCCCAAGTACAGGCCCTCCGGCGACGTGACCCCAGGAAGCGGAACCGTCTGGGACAGGAGGGCACGGGACGCAGTGTGGGCACCAGGGCCCACCATGGCAGGCATGCAGTTCTCCTTATCAGGGTTCTGGGCGAACCCTCCTCCGATGGACAGCTCCCGATCGAGAATGGCATTGGACTTCAGGACCCTGGACCTGGCCTCGAGCGGATTCGAAGTGGCGAGTGGGATCGTTTGGTGAATGTCGTCGGCGTAGTCTCGAACCGACACGTCATGCATCTCATTAGTCAGACTGCACGTCATGACACACGAAGCTCTGTGGAGCGGAACCTGGGCGTTCAACTTACTGCAGAAGACAGTGGCCTCGTCGGCGCCCAGCTCGTCTCGCCAGGCCTCGACGGGCCTCCAGAAACTGCGCACAAAGAGCTCGCAGGCATTGCCGCCCCCCATCCCTGTCCCATGCTTCGGTTGGAAGTGCCCGACCTGCTCCCCCGCCCTGATCTCCATCACCGCCTCCTCATGCCTCTGAAGTAAGAACGCTCGATCTTGTGGAAAAGGTACCACGGACATCACCGTGCGGGCAAGCTCTGAGTGCGAGGTGGAGGGGAAGGCGTTCGACATGTCCTTCTTAACTAGGAGGTGAGAGATCCCAAGCTTCCGAAGCCTCCAACTGTGAACTTTTGCTGCAATCTGTGCGTTCTGTCTACATCGATGTGCTGCATACCCGTGTGCATGGGGAGGAAGAGGAGGATGTGCTGACCTAAGATAGAGTCCACGATACCAGGCCTTCGCAAACGGGCAGTAGCAGTGGATCAATCTCATGGCTTTTGTCCCCTTCTTGGTGTTCCCCTTTGAGAGCTGAAAGGTCGTACTCCAGTGCCACTGCCCAGGCGTCCGTGATTTGGAGCGAATCTGCCGAAAAATGCGCCTAAGTCTGTCCAGGAAGTGCGGGCGCGGCACGTGCAGCCGCTGTTCAAGTCGTTGCAACTGACGTTCTGAAAGCAACTCTGAGCCTGGCCAGGATCCCGTCATCTCTCTCGTGGCATGCTCCATGAGCCAGCGCCAGAGTTCTGCGGGGGCCGAGTGCGCAGGTGAAAAACGTCTGCGGGCAGCACTCCGCAGTTGCCTCAGAGTGCGAAACCAGTCATCGTACGCGAGCGACGCCGGTGCAGCCCCAGGGAAGTAGTCCAAACCCTCCTCCTCTCACTCCTCCATGGCCTCCCGAGTGGGCTGCATCGGGTCCTCAATCACTGTTGCGCTGAAGCCGCCCTCCCGAGCGTTCGAGCACATTGTGGTCGCCCACTCTTCCAGTGAAGGTCGGTACTGGTCAGGGACGTTGAAAGACCGCTGTCGGGGTCCACGGCAGCGAGCCCCGATAGCATAGATGAGCTTCCATACTCCGTGGTAGTCGGCCGCGCATCTGTGGGTCTCGGCCTCAGTCAGCAGTTCCTCCACGTGCTCGAGGTCTAGCCGCTTCTTGAGCAGCTTGATGTCCTTCTCGATGGTCCGAAGCTGGAGACGCTGCTCCTCGGTGAAGCAGCCCCTTCTGGCCAGCCTGCGCCGCTGGAGGGCCTCAGCCCGCGCCGCGAGGTGCGGTGCCAGTGGGCCGTGCTTCGCCGTCCTCGTAAGTTCGGGAAGCGCAGCAGCACGCACGTCCTCCACCAGCTTCTCCCACGAGTGACTGGGATCAGCGCGAGTCGCGTCACGCTCCCACTCCCTCGGGTGCGAGGCCGACCGACGCTCGAGCTCCCCCAGAACCTCAGCACCAAAGCCATCGTGTCGGAGGAGGCGAACGACTAGGTCCTTGTCCCACGCAGGTCCTCCCTTGGGTGCAGGTGGCGCCTGCAAGGTGTACCGTACTTGCCACAGGAGAGGTGCATGATCTCGCGGACGACAATCTGGAATCGCCTGGAGGTCACGCATGGCATTGCGCAACGTGCAGCACCGTACAGTAGACGAGACCGCCTCGGACGGGACAAAGATGTGATCAGGCGAGCTCTGCGACTCTGTGCCGAAGTACGTGGGGCCGACAGGGTGGAAGGTGTCCACCGCCGCCATGTTCTCCATCTCCAGGAGCCTCCACAGCTCCAGGGAGACCTCATTCTCGAAGTGGTTGCCGTACTGGCCGATGTGCTGGTGGTCCACCGTCGTCGTCGCTATGCCGTGCCCTGTGCGTCTGAGGCCGAACCCGCAGTTGCAGTCTGTGCCGACTATGACGAGCGACCACTGCTTGGCCTCCTGCACCGACCTGTGCAACCATCCAGTTAACTTGCGGCAGCATTGTCTCCAATGGTCGGCCGTCATGTTGCTCTGTGGCGGAAAATAAGCAGCAATGATGGTGATGTCGAAAACTCCAGACCGTACTCTCACCAACCCACCACGGCCAGCCAGCTCTCCAGGTGGATGACGGACGTCGACCACATGGCACCGTCTGAAGACGCGAGAGCGGAGCAGGACGGTGCACCCCGCCGACTTGTTGGAATATCTGCCTCTTTCCCAGCCGAACTCGTACGCTGTGTGGTACTTTGCCCGACGCATGGTGACAGGCTGCTTCATCTTCTGACGCTGGGTCGTTGCTGGGCACACAATGATATCTGCAAATCGTAGCGTCTCTGAGATGTCATCTGTTCTCCAAGGATCCACTAGATGCAGCGGGTTATACAGAACAAAATTCAGAAGAGAGTTCCACATGGTAGTAACCGAAGAGAGTGTGAGTGTGGGGCTCGGCGTGAGCCCCCCCAGGCTCTGCGCGGGAAGGGGTGACCTCCAAAAAGCGGGGGCGGCCCTGTGCACGCGGCGGCCTGAGGCAAGGGGCTGAGGAGGAGGAGGAGGGAGGAGGAGAACGGGGAAGAGGAGGAGGAGGAGGAGGAGGAGGAGGAGGAGGAGGAGGCGGAGGCGGAGGCGGGGCCGTAGCCATTTTGGCTCAAGCCATTTTGGCTCAAGTAATCCATTTCTCGAGGTGGCTTACAGTGAGCTATTGTTGGTGCTCCTACGATCCCTGTTCGAGCCTGCCCGAGGCCTTACAGGTTGTCTTTCGGCTCTTCATGAAAGGCCAGGGTTGGTACAACCACTGGCAACCCCCTTCCTCGCAGTATCATGGCGGTCAGCAGTGCGGAAGTTGGAAGCCCCAGGGACAGCCATCTTCCAAAGTTGTGTGCCAGAGCTGTGGTTGCAAGAAGAATCGCCTCGCGTGGACCCACTGCATGCACTGCAAAGCCCCGCTGCAAAGTGTGTCTAGCAGTCCGTTTGGTGGCAGTCCTCATTTGTCTGATTGGAATGGTGTACCTCCAGGTGTCTTCGCAGCTTCTCCCTTCCTCAACGCAGGAGGTCCTAGCTCAAAAGGTATGGGCAAAGGCCTCGGTGGCGCTGCAGCCATGGGAGGAGGCGCTAGCGGCGGCAAGGGCGTCGCGGGTCAGCCTCCGCTTCCGACTGGGCCCGTGCCGAACCTCAGCCTGGCCGAGGCGAAGCAGCTCTCAGAGCTTTCGCAGAAGGCGGGGGACCTGGTCACGTTCAAGCGCTACTCAGACCTCGTCAAGCACCTGGAGAATGCACAGAAGCCACCGCCTGCTGTTTCTCCTCAGGCGAAGTTGCAGCAAGCCGACAGTGCCGTCAAGAAGCTGGAGAAGAAGCTCGAGGCCGACCTCGCGCGGATGCTCAGGCTACAGAACGATCTGGAGGAAGCTACAACCAAGATGCATGAGACCAAGTCCGCCCTGGCCAAGGCGGACCAGGACTACAAGAATGCCTTGGCGGAATGCAACGAGAGCGCCAAGATCGGGTCGCCCAGCAACGTGTCGAAGGCGCAGTTCACACCTGTTCCGCTGGGCGACCTGGTTGAAGGCAAAGTCGATATCAATTCTTTCTTTTCGTGTGACCTATTGGACGAGCTCAGTTTGGAGTACGAAGTCACGGAGACCGACCGCATGGAGTTCGAGAAGCGGAAAGAGTCTTTGCGAGACGGAGTGCAGAAGCTGGCATCGGACCTTTTCAAGCAAGTCGTCAACGCCGCGCAGGATGCGAAGAATGTTCACGCGCTGCAGATGTCCCGTCTCATCCCGAAGCGCAGGAAGAACAACGAGGGCGGTGCTCAGCCAGCTGGTGCGCCAGATGAAGGTGAAGTTCAAGGTCCACGCGCTGCAGCTCAGGGTGCTACAGCCGCTGCAGCCGCCGCCGAAGCAGATGGTGATCGGGACACTGGTGAGGTACCCGTTCCATCTGACGGCGAACAGGATGCTGAGATGGCGGAGCCTGCTGGGCAAGAGCCAGATGGGCGGGACGTGCGTGAGCGGGCCGCCGAGGCACTGGCAGCGTCGGTCTCGCCGCAGGCGGCTACTGCAGCTGCCGCGGCAGGCCAGCACTCTCTTTAGCCTAGGGCAGCGTGTCCTGGCCAGTAACTTTTTAGCCTTTAAGGACTATGCCGACAGGAAATCCGTGATTAACTCCAAGTCGCACCTGTCGGGTATTAGGTATTTCCGTAGATTGCTGCATCAATGTCCTGGCTTGTCGGGAAGCGAGCGGTCTGGGTTTCAGGCTTTTACTGCTCCTCTCCTTCCAGGATCTGTTGTTGTGCCCCCAGGCATCGCCCAGGCTCCCCCCACCCTCACCTCCCCGTTCCCTGTTGGATCTGCCACGGGCTCAGGATCAGGTGGTTTTGAAGTTTTTGAAGGTGGAGTTTCGGTTGTGTCTGCCAATCTCAATTCTTGGGGCACTCTCAAGTCGTACCTGGAGTCGTCGGACGCGTCTGCCATCCTGGGCCAGGAGCATCGCCTGTTGGATCCTGACGCCATTGCGCAAGCCTCTTCGTCTGCTTTGAAGCTCGGCTGGAAGTCGACGTGGCGCCCAGGCATCCCTGGTGAAGGTGGAGGGGTCAGCTCGGGCACTGCTATTTTTGCGCGGGACGGCTTCGGCATGTTCGCTGCGTCTACCACAGTGGTGGTGCCTGGCAGAGCAGTCGCAGCCATGGTCCATGCACCTGGTTGCGAAGCTATCTGTATGGTCTCTATTTACCTTATTCACTCTGAAGGTCTCTCGGAGGGCAACCTCAAAATCCTGTCTACGGTGGGGGAAGTCTTGGCGAGTCTGACTTGTGAGTTTGTTTTGGGGGGCGACTGGAACTTGACCCCTGACACCCTGGAGGATTCGGAGTTCGACCTCCTGCTCTCGAGCCAGATCGTTTTTCCCTCCAGTCGTACGTGTTTTCCCAGCAAGGGCAAGGCGTCCGTTTTTGATTTCTTCCTGGTCTCGCGGGCTCTGGCCAAAGGAACCAAGTCGATCCAGGTGGACACCCTTGCTGGTTCGAGCCCTCATTTCCCCGTCAAGTTAAGCTTCCACCCCTCCCTGATGGATCTCAAGGCTCTCGCCTTCCGCCGCCCCCCTCCGATTCCGGTGGTCCCCCCTGTGGGCCCTCAGCCTCAGGAAGGCGACTGGTCTGGGGCCTTGGAAGTTGCTCGGAAAGGGTATGAAGCGGTTTTGAATGACGATTTTTCTTTGGCTGTCAGTACTTTGGACGCAGGTTATTCCTCTTGGGCTAGGTCTGCGGAGAGGGACCTCGCCAACATCATGGGCGTGGAGCTTGGAGTGCAGGGAGCCAGAAGCAAGAGTCCGCAGATGTACTGGAAGCCAGTTCTCAGGCCTGCAGGGCGGGCACGAGACGCTCACGGTAAGCCGATTTATTGGTTGCACGCCCAGCTGCACGCGCTGGTCTGCTACAGTCAGGACTGGACCGTCAACGCTTGCAATGCTTCTGATATCCTCAAGTCTCTTGCAGATCCAGATGCGGCGGTCCAGCCTCCTGCTGATAGCGAATTTGCTGTGGTGTTTCGTGCTGCCGCTAGCTTAGGCAAGCGTGGCCTTAGCTTGTCGCAAGATAGGTTGGCCGAATTTCGATCGGAACTTGAGGAGTTGGCTGATGAGGTGATCGGTCTTTGTTCAAAAGCTAAGGCGCGTGCGGCCAACTCCTCGAGGACTGCCTGGCATGATTGGCTTCGCGCTGGTCTGGACAACGGGGGCCGCAGAGCCCACGCCGCGTTGAAGGATCCCGAAGGTTGGACGCCCTCCACCACCCTTTCCTCCAACGGGATTGTGGTTGCTGACCCCAAACACCTTCTGAAAGCCGAAGGAGACAAATTTGCTTCCATATGGGGAAGGGGTACTGGAATGGGCATTGGAGATGACTCTATCCTCTTGCCCTCCTCCCTCCTCACTCCTCTTGAGCTTCGGGATATTTCCAGAACCTACCAGGAGCGGAGTGCTGTGTCCCTGGACGGATTTCATTGCCGCCATTTTTCTGTCCTTGGCGACCAGGCTTTGCAGGCTATGAGTTTTCTTCTTTTTGTCATAGAAGCGACGGGCAGACTGCCAAGGCAGCTTGCTTGGGTGCTGCTCGCGCTTCTGCCCAAGCCTACGGGCGGGTTCCGACCGATAGGGATATTTCCTGCGTTCTATAGGGTTTGGGGAAGGGCGAGGAGGAACGAAGTTGCGCAATGGGAGGCTGACAATCCTAGAGTTTACTGGGCTGCAGGTGCCAACCGCGGCCCAGTCGACGTTGTGTGGAGGCAAGCCGTTCGAGCCGAGATCGGCACGCGCAAAGGAGAATTCTCGGCTTCCTTGTTTTGGGATTTCAGGAAATATTACGAGCACATCGGGTTAGGTTTCCTCTGGGCCAAGTGCCGTGAACACGGTTTCCCGCTCTCCCTGGCCAGGTTGGCCATTAACGCTTTTTCGGCCGCTAGGTTTTTGGCGCTGAATGGTCTTGTTGAGGGCCCGTACTTCGTGCTAAACGGGATTATCGATGGTTGTAGCCTGGCTACTTCCTTGATCCGCGTTTTCGCGATGTCGGCCTTCGACGAGATCCCTCGGAGCGTTAAAATCGACTTCGACGTCTACATTGACGACACCTCTCTGAGCAAAACTGGTTCTTTTCGTGAAGTGGTGCAGGGCATAGTTCGAGGTGCCAATGTCTTGCATCGTGCGATCACTGCCACTCTTAAGTGCAAGCTGGCCATGGATAAGATCGGGCTTGTGACTTCTCATAAGAGCGTTGCGAACAGTATCCATGACCAGCTTGGGCCCTTGGCTGGAGAAGCTAAGGCGAGTATTGTCAACTTAGGTATCGACGCAGCTGCTGGCAAAGCTATCCGAGCTCGCGGACAAGGTAGAGCTGTTAAATTGAAGGCGCGTTTATCGGCAGCGGCGCGCAAGGCTTGCAGGCTTCGGAAGCTTCATAAGCCCCTCGGGCGTAAGGCCACTAAAATTTTTGCTGCTGGCCCAATGGCTGGCGGTATTTTCGGGACCGAGGTTTATGGGGTTTCGGACCGTGAGCTCTTAGCTCTGAGAAGGATGGGTATGAGCACGATCAAGCCTCGCGCGCAAGGCCGCTCTCTGTCTGTCATCTCTCTCCTGGAGGGCGACCCCCCTTGGAGGGCGGCCGTGGCCCCGATTGTCCGCTGGTCGCGAGAGATCTGGATTCTTCAGACTCATTGTTTCGAGTGGAGTCTGTCCTGGGCCGAGCTCAGATCTGGCTGGGAGCATGTTTTTCTGATTGACGACCTCAGTTGGAGTAAAGTTTCGGGCCCGATTTCTGCCCTTAGGATGTCTTTGTATAGGCTGGGCTGGTCCATGCCGAACTTTTGCACCCTCAAGGACGATTTCGGCCGAGAAATACCGCTGACTCTGAATACTCCTCAGATGATTAAGTTGCTTTGCAAGGAGGCCGTGCTTCGTGGTCTGGAACGTGACTCGGGGGACAGCTATGGGGCGGGCCACAGGCTCTGTTGGGACGTGGCCAAGCACCTTTTAGGCTCTTCTAAGGTTCCCAAGAAGGACAAGGGCCTCATCAGGGCCCTTGCTTGCAGAGGATTCTGGACGGCATCCGATGCAGTGGCTGCTGGATATGTGTCTATCTCGCCCCTGTGCGCGCGCTGCGGCCGAGCCAGCGATACCCTGTTTCATCGGCTGTGGCAGTGTCAGTGTGCAGAGGTCCGCGCCATTCGTGATGCGGTTGTGCCGACTTGGATTCAAGAAGAAGCCCTCGACACCGCGTCTAAAGGTTATGACCGACTTTTATTTCTGTATGGTTGCTTTCAACACCCTGGAGATGTGTTCCCTAAGCCGGCCTCGGAAGGAGGAGTGGAGATCAAGTGGCACGTGGCAGAGGTCCCCTCTCCTCACCCCGACTCTCCTCCTGTCCTTCCCTCCGACGGGCTCTGGGGGCACGTTTTTACCGACGGTTCCTGTCGTCGGCACTTGGTCCGTGAGCTCTCTAGGAGCTCCTGGGGCCTTGCGATGGTTTCTAACGATGGTTCGCTCCTTGGGGAGGTCTCGGGCCCTCTTTGGGCCACTTGCCCGCAGACGCCTCAAGGAGCGGAATTCGCTGCGTTTCTCTGGTCGAGCTGCTACGCCTCTGCCGAGACAGATCTTTATATTGACTGCAAGAATGTAGACGATCAGGCAGGCCTCTCTGCTGCTAGTGCCTTCTCCCACAAAAAGCAGTACGGAGGAGCGATCCTGCAAGCTCGGCACCTGTTTGGCAAGTTCTTTCGCTCCTGCACAAAGGTGCAGGCGCACAAGGCTTTGGACGAGGAAGGAATTTCTGCGTCCGAGCGCTTTGCGAGGCAAGGGAATTTCTATGCAGATCATGTAGCGAAGAGTGCCTTACAGAAGCACCCTTCTGCTGACCCGCGTGACCTTGATGAGCTGGACAGGAAAATTAAGATTGCCAAGCACGTCCTAAAGCTGGGCGCTGCTATTCTGCTGGAGTGGCCGCATCTCGAATTCAGAGGCTCTGAGAGAGTCAACCCTCCCCTCGCGGCCCCAAAACTGGTGCTGGCTCACTCGTGGAAACGCTCGAGTGGGCTTTGGAGGTGTGAGGTCTGCTTGAAGGGTTCTACGAGGCCTGGGGATAAAAGTCCGCCAGATAGCGTGTGCCCTGGGAAGTCCAAACTGGATCAGGGTGTGTTAGAGAGACTAGGACACAGGGTGATCGCCCTGCCGTGCTCCGACGCCTCTCATGTTTTCGTTTGCTTGTCCTGTAAATTTTATTCGAGTGGTGCTCAGGTGCTGGGCCTCGGTCGCGTCTGCAGGCCCCCCACCGTCACTGGAATTCGTAATTTCAGGAAGCTCAAGAAAGGCTATCACCCTGACAAGGAGGGAGTTTCAGTCTTCTGTGATGAATTCAAAGCATTAATGTAAGAATTCGCGGTCACGTCCTGTGTGCGTCTCGGCTCAGTGCGTGGCAGTCCAGTCTCGGAGGCATGGCGGTGCGAGGTCAAAAGGAGGCGGAGGCGGAGGCGGAGGCGGAGGCGGATGAGGCGGAGGCGGAGGCGGAGGCGGAGGCGGAGGAGGCGGAGGAGGAGGGGGAGGAGGAGGAGGAGGAGGAGGAGGAGGAGGAGGAGGGGGAGGGAGGAGGGAGAGGGGAGGAGGGAGGAGTGAGGGGGGAGGGAGAAGGAGGAGGGAGGAGGGAGGCGGAGGAGGGAGGAGGGAGGAAGGGAGGGAGGGAGGGAGGAAGAGGAGGAGGAGGGAGGATGAATAGGACGGCCAGCGGAAACGCGGCGCGCGCGGCGCATCGTCCGCTCTCCCCAGTGGCCCCCGCGAACTCGGGACCCCGCAGACTGAAGGAGGAGGGGGAGGATATGGAGAAGGAGGAGGAGGAGGAGGAGGAGGAGGAGGAGGGCGAGGAGGAGGAGGACCCGTTTTTGCTCGACGAGTGGAGCTGGATGCCGAAAGGCATGAGTACACTCAGAAGGCGCAGCCCGTCGCTGGATCGGTGAGTTGTCTGACCCTATCCCGTCAGCTGTGCAGGCTGGCGCGCACACGCGGTGCTTCAGCACGAACGCGAGAGGCGGAGGCAGGCTGCATGCGAGGGTGTGTTGCTACGCTGCGCAGGCCAAACTCGGTCTCACAAGAACGCGCTGCGTGGGGCAAGCTCCATCCCACAACAACGCGCTGCGTGGGGAGGGAAAGCTCAGTCCCACAATAACGCCCTATGCGTCTCATGTCGAAATTAATCCCTTCATTTACCTGCACTGTGCCAGGAGGAAGAAGGTGGGAGGTCATTGACCGTCAGTCTAGGACGACGACGACGCAAAAACGACAACGGCTGTGCAGCGGCGACGACAGCAACGGCGACGGCGACGACGGCGGCGACGGCGACAGCGATAGCGACAGCGACGACGACGACGGCGACCACGACGACGGCAGCCACGGCGACGCCAGGCGGCGGCGAGCAAGGGCGAGGGCGGCGACGACGGCTGCGGCGGTGAGAGAAGCGACCCGCCTCGAGCCGGTTCACCGCGGCGCTCGCCGCGCCGCCCGCAGGCGCCCGCTCGGTGTCCGCCTGCGGTGGGTCGTCACCGTCGCCGCCGCCGCCAGCGACGCCGACGGTATCGAAGGCGTCGACTGCAACAACGTCGTCGTCGTCGTCGTCGTCGTCGAGGGCCAAGCGTCGAGGGCGCCCTCAAGAGAGCCCAAACACGTTGGGAAACCTGGGCCTCTCCTGATCCTCGGCCCTCCCAACACCACGGCGGCGGAGGCGACGACGGCGGCAGCGACGCTGGCGGACCCGACGGCGACGACGACGACGACGACGACGACGGCGACGACGGCGACGAGGGCGACGACGGCGGCGACGACGACGGCGACGACGGCGACGGCGACGGCGACGACGACGGCGGGGAGCGGCCGCGGCGCCCGCCTCGCTGCCCGGGCGCTTCTCTGCGGCGTCCGCCTTATGCGAGCGCGGTCGTCGTCGTCGTCGTTGTCGTAGTCGTCGTCGTCGTCGTCGTCGTCGTCGTCGTCGCCGTCGCCGTCGTCGTCGTCGTCGTCGCCACCGCTGCCGTCGCCACCGCCGTCGTGGCCACGGTCATATTGTGATCGGCGCCGTTCCTTGGAACGCTCTTGGGTATTCCTGGGCCTCTGGGACCGCCCTCGTGGCCACGGCTGGATGGCCAAAGCGTGCCCCAGAGCAGGCCGTCGCCGTCGATGTCGTCGGCCTCGTCTTCCTCTCCCTACCCTCCTGCTCACTCCCACCTTCCCTCCCACCTTGCTTCTTCCCCTCCCTCCTCCAGTCCCAGACATGCGATGTCCTGACGTTTTCCCATGCGCGGCCCCCCGAAGCCCCGACCATCTCGCCAGGGCCGGCTTCGTTCCTGTTGGCATACAACAAGTGCCCAGCGAGGGCCTGTGGGGTTGCCGAAAACAGCGAGAAAGGCCTCCTCCTCCTCCTCCTCCTCCTCCTCCTCGCTCTTCGCCTCCTCCTCCTCCTCCTCCTCCTCCTCCTCGCTCTTCTCCTCCTTCTTCTCTCCTCAACGCGAGGCTTGTGGAGCTCTTCAGGACGCGGCGCCTCTGGGGCCCCCGTCCAAGCGTGCCACGGGGACGCACTGGCCCGGGTCAGTGCACGCCGGGGTCCGTGGGGCTCCTGCAGGACCCCGCGGGACCCTGCAGGATCCCCCGCGCCCGCACGGGCCAGTGCCACCTTGACTCTGCAGACTCCTGCAGGGTCCGGCGCTCTGGCTGACCCCCGTCTCAGGGCTGCCGAGTGCCAACGCCGGCTGCTGCGCTGGAGCGGGCTGGGCCCGCTGGCTCGCTCGAGGCTACCCCAGCCTGGCTCGTGCTCCTGCTGCAGCTCCCCCTTCCCTCCCTGCCTCCCTCCTGCTCCCTCCCTCCTTCCCCTCCTCCCCCCTTCTTCCTCCGGTCTCCCTCCCCACTTCCCCTCTCTCCCTCCCCTCCTTCCCCTCCTTCCCCTCCTTCCCCTCCTCCCCTCCTCCCCTCCCTGCCCCCCTCCCTCCCTCCTTCCCTCCCTCCCTCCTTCCCTCCTGCTGCTGCCCCTTCTCCCTCCCGTCTCCACAAGGACCGCTGCGCCAGCATCGACTGCCGCGCCGGAGCGGGCCGGGCCCGCCAGCTCGCTCGCGTTGCCCCCCGCTCGACTCTGGCTCCCGCTCCGGCCTCCCCCCCCCAGGCGTGCTCGCGCCTGCCTCCCTCGCCTCCCCTCCTCTCGCCCCTCCCCTGCCTGCCTCGCCTTCCCGACTGCCTCCCGATTCCTCCTCCTCCCTCGCCTGACTCCCCAGAACCCCTCGAATCGTGGAGCAGAGATCAAGAAGCCAGGCGTGTCGCCAACTGCTTTCGGCCTCTGGGGGCCCCTGCCAGGCCTCGGGGCCGTCGGATCAAGATGAGAAAGCGGTGCTGGGGGATGTGTCGAGACCGCTACAGTAGGAGCTCGACCACAAGAAGCCATCCACAAGGAACCCAACCCAGAGACCCAAGGGTTAAGTCGGGCATGTCCGCCTACAGGCAGATTTTCGACGACAAATCAAGCAACACTCAAGACATGTTCAAAACAATAATCAAAACATTGCCTCCAGACTATTCTCTTACTACGTTTGCATATTCCCCTTGTAGAGGGACAAGCCCGACTTAACCCAAGGGCGTCCATTGACTCTTGGTATGGGAACGCCACGGCTTGCATCGCAAAACCGTGGAAGCCCAAGAAACCCAGGGCCCCCTGGGGGCACGCAGGGTGTTTCCTTGGCATGGGCTTCCACTGTAGATTGGGCTCCCGCCCGCCCCCTCAAGAGGAGGGACGAGGGGAAACCCTCGTCCCTCCTGCGTCCCTCCTGCTTCTCCGTCTGCTTTTCCTCCTCCTCCTCCTCCCTCTCCTCCTCCTCCTCCTCCTCCTCCTCCTCCTCCTCCTCCTCGAGCGGCACGTCCTCAGAGAGGCAACCAACCTCGAGGAGGACTCTTGATGTAGGGAAGGCGGCTAAAGTAGATTGGGATCTTGGTATCCAGAAATACCTACTACCTCCAACGACCGACGCGTACCCAGGCCCCCGACGTGGTGTTGTTTTCGTGACGTCGACCCCCATGGGTCTGGACCTCTTCCCCAGGACCGATTTTGCATCCAGAGTAACTGCTTGGCGGTCCCGAGGCCCGGTGAGGGCCTCCAGAAGCCGAACATGGGAAGAAACCTCCCGTCTCGAGTGTTTCATGACCCGAGGGGGTCTGGGTACCCACTACCGCCACCCCCGACGACCTCTCCCAGGGCGCGCTGTGACTGGGAATTCGCGGCGAACCCAGCCGTACAGCGACGAGGGAGCTCCACCGTCGAGCAGCGGCATCCGCACCTCTGACCTCTCTCCCGGCCGAGGGGGTGGGTCCTCCTCCTCCTCCTCCTCCTCATCCCTCCCTCCCTCCTCCTCAACCTCCCCCTCCCCCTCCCTCTCCCCCTCCGACTACCCCTCCCCCTCCCCCTCCCCGTCCCCCTCCTCCTCCTCCTCCTCCTCCTCTTCTTCTTCCTCCTCCTCCTTCTCCTCTTCCTCCTCCTCCTCCTGTTCGTCCTCGTCCTCATCCTCGTCCTCGTCCTCGCCCTCGTCCTCCTCCCCTTCCCTCCTCCTCCTCCTCCTCTTCTTCTTCGTATTCTTATTAATATTATTATTATTCTTCTTCATATTAGTATGATTAATATCAGTATTATTAATATTATTAGTCGTATTATTAGTATTGGTCGTGTAGGCCTCGGAATAGCTTCGTTCCAGCAGCTAGACGAGTTAATGGAGATTTCTTCTGGCGCTTGGGGGCCCCTCCCAGGAGCCAGGCAGGCCGTAGTTCGAGGGGAGATTTGGTGCCTCCTCGCATGCCTGCAACGTGCGTCTGGTCAATGTGTGTACACTACTGATAACGATGCAGTCAGTCTAGGATGGTATCAGCGTAAGTGGATCGACCCCTCGGGCCCCGACGCCGATCTTTGGTGGTGGATTGGGCGTGTCCTGCAGGAACGAGGGTCCGAGATTTCTTGCACAGTATTGTTCTTCCATTCCCACCTCGAGGGCGTTGACATAGTACGAGGTGTTGCACCCCGCCTCCTCGTGCTGGGTAACACCATAGCAGATTGTTTTGCAGCGGCAGGTGCTCGTGTAGCTAGACTTGCCGAATCCGTGCGTGCACGCATACATAGTGTTGAGCAGCAAGCTTTCGCAATTCGCATGCGTATCCTTCAAAGCACTCTCGAGGCCATCCAAGCCGAAGAGCGTATTCTAGCTGAGCAAGGTGGCAAGCGTAGGCGTAGGCAGCAAGCTTCTGACATTGTACGGCCTCCAGCGGCCAGTGTGTGTGTGTGTGTGTGCCATTTGCAATAGCTACCATAGCCTTAAGGAAGATGCAAAGAGCTGTTCCAGGTGCCAGGGTGTTACGTCCTTGGCCCGCAAAAGCGATTGGTTGAGCTATCCCTGCTTGTCCCTAATTAACGTCAACGGGATTCAGTACAGGCCTCCTCCTGGGCAACGGGTGCATCTTGGGGGGGGGTTCTCACACGAATCACATGTTTTGAATTTTCACTCGGGTTTAAACCTCTGGTTCTGCACTAAATGTGGCTGTTTCGCTTCGCAACGGATCCGAGCGTTGGCCACCAAAGTGTGAAAAGGTGATTGCGGGTAATCGAAGGATTACGTAGATAGAATGTCCCGAGGCCCCTGGCCTAAGGTTCTCAGTAAAGTCGCGCTGGCCAGCGGGAAGCGGCAGGGTCCGCAGCCGCTTCAGTCACAGTAACGGACACTGTCGCCATACCAAGAACCCCAGAACCCCAGAACCCTAGAACTCCTCCTCCTCCTCCTCCCCCACCTCCTCCTCCTCCTCCTCCTCCTCCTCCTCCTCCTGTTCCTCCCTCTTTTCCTCCTCCCTCTCGTCCTCCTCCTCCTCCTCCTCCTCGTCCTCCTCCTCCTCCTCCTCGTCTTCGTCCTCGTCCTCGTCCTCGTCCTCGTCTTCCTCCCCCTCCCTCCTTTCTCCTCCGCCTCCCTCCCTCCCTCCCTCCCTCCCTCCTCCTCACCCTACTCCTCCTCCTCTTCGTATTAGTCTTTAGTATTATTATGATTAGTAATATTATTATTTTTATTATTATTATTATTACGAGGAGTATACTTAGTATGCTTCGTCATATGATTATTATTATTAGCTTCATTAGTACTATGAATAGTATTAGTATTATTAATTTTATTATTATTACTATTAGTATTATCATTATTCGCCTTATTATTACTCGTATTATTATCATTAGTTTTAGTATTAGTAGTATTAATAGTGTTATTATGCATAGTATTAGTACTATCGGTCTTACTATTATTATTAGTATTATTATTAGTATTAGTAATACTAGGACGATTAATAATAATAATAAAAATAATAATAACACTAACAGTATGAGTATTAGTATGATGATTAGTAGTATTCATAGTATTATTATTATTATTAATATTATTGTTAGTATTGTTATTCGTGCTAGTCGTACCATTCTTTTGTCGTAATGTTATTAGTATGCTTATTCTTCTTCTTACTAGTTTAATATAAGTATTAATACTAGTATTCATATTCGCCGTCTTATTATTATTAATAATAATATTATTATTGTGTTTTCTTATTACTGCTGCTATTAATATTAATAGTACTATCATTGTTCGTATTAGTAGTATTACCATTACTATTATTAGCCTTATTATTCTTATTACTATTCTCATTATTATTAGTAGTAGTAGTAATATTATTATTGCTCTTCTTACTATTATCATGTTTCTTATTATTATTATTCTTCTTCCTCCTCCTCCTCCTCCTCCTCCTCCTCCTCCTCCTCCTCCTCCTCCTCCTCCTCCCCCTCCTCCCCCTCGTTTTCGTCCTCGTCCTCGTCCTCGTCCTCGTCATCGTCCTCGTCATCGTCCTCGTCCTCGTCGTCCTCGTCGTCCTCGTCGTCCTCGTCGTCCTCGTCGTCCTCGTCGTCCTCGTCGTCCTCGTCGTCCTCGTCGTCCTCGTCGTCCTCGCCGTCCTCGTCGTCCTCATCGTCCTCATCGTCCTCATCGTCCTCGTCGTCCTCGTCGTCCTAGTCGTCCTCGTCGTCCTCGTCGTCCTCGTCGTCCTCGTCGTCCTCGTCGTCCTCGCCGTCCTCGTCGTCCTCGTCGTCTTCGTCGTCCTCGTCGTCCTCGTCGTCCTCGCCGTCCTCGTCGTCCTCGTCGTCCTCGTCCTCGTCCTCGTCCTCCTCCTCCTCGTCCTCCTCCTCCTCCTCCTCTTTTCTTCCTCCTCCTCCTCTTTTCCTCCTCCTCCTCCTCCTCCTCCACGGACCGCCCTCTCCCGGCCGAGGGGGGGGGCCCACCTGGCGCGCCCCGGCCTTGACCAGCTGCTCCTGCACAGATCGGGTGCTGCTGGCAGTGCCCGTGGCCAAAGGTGCCTTCAGCTGGTCGCTCCGCCTTGGAGGCCCTGGGGCCGCCTGGGCCTCGTGAGGGCTGCCCTCTGAAGACTGGGCCTCCCTGCGAATCCTGGGTACTTCCAGCATCACCCGAACAAACGAGCGAACCGAAGCGAACGCCGGAGTCGTGCGCGCTCCGCCGGGGAGAGCCCGCCCGCGCCCCTCGAGGCCACGGCGCGGAAGCCGCAACCGCGAGACTGCGGGCGCTGTGCCCGCACGCCGCCTGATGCGCGCCGGCTGAGAAACGACTCGCTTGACCCAGATGAGCCAATTTTCCACCACCACTACCATTACGAGGAAGAAGGGGGGAGAAAGAAAAGATGGGAAGGTCTTCCTCCTCTTCCTCCTCCTCCTCCTCCTCCGCCTCCTCCTCCTCCTCCTCCTCCTCCTCCTCCCCTCCTCCTCCCATCCTCCTCCTCCCCTCCTCCTCCTCCTCCCCTCCTCCTCCTCCTCCTCGTCGTCGTCCTCCTCCTCCTCCTCTTCTTCCTCCTCCTCCTCCTGCCCTTCCCTCTTCTCCTACCGTTGGAGAGCGTTTCTTGATGTTCGGCGATGACGGGCGTCATTGGGGGGGGCGGGGGGGGCATGACGTAACGCCCCCCCCCCGCCGAGTGGTTCCGGCACCACAGCCGCGCCCGCGCGCACGACGCGACGAGCGACGAGCGACGAGCGACGAGCGACGAGCGACGACGACGACGACGACGACGACGACGACGACGAGGACGAGGACGAGGACGAGGACGAGGACGACGCGAGCAAAATGTAGGTGGCGATATGCTCCCCTGCGCCTGTGTACACATCGCTCGCGTGCACCACAACGCGCGCAAGAAACACAACACCTGCGCACACCGCAAGAACGTTTTTCGAGGGGGCAGAACCCCAGGAGGACGGCGGTGACCGACGCCCCCTGCGCGCGCCACGGGCGCACGGAAGCCCGCCGCCGACCACGACGCATGGGCCGTCGCGGCGCGGGGCGGCCGCCGACGACGCGCGGGCCGTCGCGGCGAGAGGTCGCGCTGGTGGCGCCGAAGGGCCACGCGGCTAGCACGTCCGCGTGGCAGGGGCGGCAGCGCTCGGGAGGCCTGGTGCCTCGCCGGCCGCCGCGCCGTCTGCGGGGCGCGCCGAGCTGGCGGGATGCTGACCTGTATGAATGCGGTCAGCCCGAAGACGTCGGATGCGCCCCGCCTCGCCCACGTGCGGGGCGCACAGGGCCGCTGCAGCCTTGATACTGCCGAGGCGCTCCCTGGCGTAGGCGTGACACTTCGCGCACAGCACGTAGCCGAAGGCACGCTGCGCGATGTGGCCGAGGGCATCGCGCGCCCGCGGTGGGCCGTCCTCGGCGTCGGTCTCGCCCCCAACAAGCACCGCTGGGCCCGCCGACGGCTGCGCCGTGGCGGGCGGTGGGGATCGGGGCATCGCAGCTGCCTCCGAGGACCGCTCGCTGGGGGGCGTGGCTCCGACCAGGCCGCTGGCCGCGGCGGCATCCTGGGTCGCGGCGGCCCCCGCTGGGGCAGGCGGCGGGCCCCCCGAGCTCGGCGCTGGGCCCTGGCCGCGGGCCGAGCCGGCAGCGCCTGTGGTCGCGGGCCCCTGCCCCACCGCACTCGGCGCGGGGTCCTGGCCCCGATCTGACCCGAGCACTCCTGGCTGGCTGTCGGCCCCGTCGGCGGCTGCAGCGGCTGCCGCCGCCGCCGCCGCGAGGGCCGCGCCTGCTGCCGCGCCGGGCGGCGCCGTCTCCCCGACCGCCGAGGCGATCTTGGGAACGCACAAGGACCGATACAACACCTGCTTCAAACTCGTGGTTCGCGCCGTGCGCGGGCACGCCGTGCAGCGCCAGGGGCCCGGGCCGAGCGCGCCGAACGCGCGCTCGGCGAGGGGGGGGCGGTCCTTGTTAGCCTCGTCGCGGGCCACGTAGCCGCGGGTGCTGTCGAGGCTCTCGGCGGCCGCGGGGGCGCCGGCCGTGGCCGCCCAGTGCGCGGCGCCGTCGACGAAGAGCTGGGCACGCAGCTGCCTCTGTCTCTCAGCCGCGGGGGCGCGCAGGAGGTGGGCGATCCCGCCGGCGACGTGGTCGGCCGCGTAGTTGCCGCGGCGCTGCTTCCGCGCGATGATGCCGCGGGCGACGTGGGCGGCGGCGGCGCGGCCCTTGATCTTCGCGATCGTGAGCCCCGCCGGGCCGACGCCGCCGAAGTCGTGGAGCGCCTGCCGCGCCTGCCGCCAGAGATGCCCCCGCGCGGATGGACGCCGGCGTCGCGCGGGCCTCGCCCCGTAGGTTGATGCCATCGACGACGAAGCCGGCGTCGCAGTGCAGCTCGATGGGCGGGGCGGCGGGGTGCAGGGCGATGAGCACCGCCAGCGGCTCCGCGCCCTCGATGCTCTGCCATGGTCCAACTAGAGGCGCGCCTAGCGCCTTGGTGTGGCTGCCCACGCCTGGGTCGACTTCCTCGGGGCCTCGAGGAAGCTCGACGACTGCTGCCGCGGCCTGCGCACCTCGGCCCTCTGCCAACTGCGCGTCGCACAGTGGGCCGTCGCAGCGCAGGGGCTGGCCGACGAATGGCTCGCCTGGCTCGCCGCAGCACCAGCGGAGGCGGTCGAGGAAGCCGCCGCTGGGAGGCCTCCACTGGAACTGCTGGGCTGGAAAGAGGACGCCCTCGACAGGGCACTTGGCAACCGCGATGTCCTCCTGCGGCAGCAGCTGGGCGATCTCAAGCGGGAGGCAGAGGCCGCGGTCCTGGATGGCGCTGCAGCAGAGGTGCCTGCGCCAGACGTCGCCGACGCGGTTGGGGCAGAGCTCGCAAGTGTCCGAAGGGGGCGCACCTCGGGTTGTTGCCGTACTTCCTGGCGTGGGTCCACTGGCCGTCGACGATGCAGGACCTGAGGTAGCCGCGTTGCTCGCTGCTGAGGCTGGGCCACCTCCGTGCTTCCTGGGCACCGCGGCCGCTGGCCGTCCACCGCCGAGGCTGGCCGAAGTTGATGCCGACGTCGAGCCAGGAGGCGTCGTGCTTGCTGAGCTGCGCGGCCTGCCAGCGGTCGCAGCTGCGGCCCAGCAGCCTCTTGGTGGACCACGGGCTGAAGTCGCTGACGCCGCAGTGAATGCCGTCGTGCGTGGCCCGCGCGTCGAGCGAGGCCGCCCCCCAGCCCGCGCGGCGCATGGGGAAGAGAGCTGCCTCCACGGGGCCGCGGCAGTCGGCCCAGCTGCCCGGCGCGGCCAGGGCCGCCGCGAAGGCCTTGTCCAGCGCCTGCCTGGGGAGCCACTGCTCCCAGACTGCCCTGTGCAGCGCGCGCGCTGAGTCGCATGCCGCCTTGAACACAGGGTCGCGGTCCCCGCCGATGGTGGCGAGGACGGCGGTGCGGCTCTTGCCGGAGGGCCTGATTTCGACTGACCTGAACGCCGTCGCGCGCGCGGCGTCGAGGTCGGCGTCGCTGAGCCCCGCGCAGCAGACGCCGCAGGCAAAACTGACCTCGACGCCCTGCTTGAAATCCTTGCCGCGACATGGCGGCGGCGCCCTGGACCCAAGAGCCCCCTGAGGCGTGGGGCCCGCCGCGCGGCCAGCTTGAGGCGGCGCCGACGGTCGAGCCTGGGCGCCCGCCCAGCCAGGGCGTAGTCCACTCCAAAGTCGCGGGCGGCCCCCCACTGGCCGAGCCTCGGCGGCCTGGGCCAGGCGGCTCTCGAGCGCCGCGGCCGCCAGGCGGCTCTCGAGCGCCGCGGCCGCCGCGGGCGAGTCGGCTCGCAGGAGGGACTTCTTGGTGGCGACGTGGATGTCCACCGTGCGCAGCTCGCCGACGACGCTGGCGACGCTGGCGACGAGGTCGTCGGTCGCGCGCCTGCTGCCTCCAACCCGCTGGAAGACCAGGTCGTCGACCACGACCGACGGGGCGATGCTCGGCGAGGCCCGCAGGGCGCGGCCCAGCGGGCTGAGGAGAATGAGCTTCAGGACAGAGGTGGCCCACATGTCCCCTGCGAGGACCGTCTGCTGCACCTCGATGAGGCCCGAGACCGCGCCGTTGAGCTCCAGCGCCCGCGGCGTGCGGTAGACGGAGATTTGGAGCTTCACCGCCCAGACAGGGAAACCGCGCTGCACGGCGGCGTCGACGAGGTGCCGGTGCCTCAGCTACTCGAAGGCCTTCCACAGATCGGGGATGACCGCCGCCGGGCTCCAGTCAAGGTCGGGCCTCTCGCCGCGCTTGGCCTAGAGCCACTCGCCCCATGCCAGCTGCTGCCAGACTGCACGCTCGCAGGCCTTGCCTGCGCAGGCCCACCAGAAAGCCCCGGGGCGGGCCCTCTCCCAAGCGGCCGCGGCATCTCGCCGCAGGCGCCCGTGGACGCGGACCAGGGCGGCGACGAGGGCGATCGGCCTTGCGCCACCCTCCCTCTTGCTGATGAACACGAGCTTGCTGCTGAATGGGGGCCAGCGGCACTCCTGCTCGACCCCCATGAGCAGGTCGGTGGTGGCCTCGACGCCGCTGTCGCCGAGGGCGTCGAGGTCGCGGGGGCAGAACGCGTCGAATCTCGTGCCCGCGGCGGCGGCGAGGCCGCGGAAGACCTCGCGCATGCGGGCGACGGATGGCCGCGGAGGCCGCTCGCCAAGGTCGGCGGGCCACGACGGCGGCGCCACGGGGGCGCCGACGTTCCAGTGGCGCGACCACTCCTTGACGAGCAGCTCGACGCAGGCATGCTGGTCGGCAGGGGCGGGCAGCAGCGGCCCGCCCTCGCCGTCGGGCGCGTCGGCGGCCAGCGGGCGAGGGCGCCGAGGCATGGGCTCGCGCGCACAGGCGTGCAACCCCTTGCCGCCCTGCGCGCGCTGCTGGTCGATCCAATTGCCGAAGCGCTTCCTCGCCAGATTAGCGGCGTCCCCGATGTGCTTCTTGGAGATGACGCCGACGTGCTCCGCGAGGCGCCCTGCCGAAGGCGCGTCGATGGTGTCGAAAACGCTGCCGATGAGAGCGAGCGCCGTGCACGTGTTGATCCGCTGCTGGTCGGCCATGCCCCCGTCATTGTGGGGCGGCAGCCCGGGGCTGAGCCTGCGCGGGCTGCGCGGCCCGTCGAGGCGCGAGCGCGCGGTGCTCAGCGAGGCGGCCCTGCGCGCCTCGAACACCCGCTGGGGGATCCACTGCGCGCTGGTGCCCAGCTTGGGGTGCCTGGGGGGGTCGGGCTTGCTGGCGAGCACCCACTGCAGCGCAGGCGGCTCCCCCTGCCTCGGTGCTTGCCCCCCTGCTCGCTGAGGCCTCGCCGATCGATCAAGACCGCCTCAGTCGTCCTGATGACGTTCTTCCAAGCCTCATCCACAGAGGCAGCGCTGGTGATCCTGGGGCGGACGTCGGCCCAGGCAGGCTCGTAGTCCTGGGAGCAGCAGCCCAAGGGAAGCGGCCGCGGGAAGGGCTTGGGCGCTCGCGCGACCTGGATCCAGGGCTGGACCTTCTGGGTGGCAATCGAGGAAAACTGGCCGGCGCGGCGGCGGCGGTGGCCGAGGCGAGACGCGGTGAGGCCGCGAAGTAGTCGATCGCGCGCTCCGAGGGCCTGACGGCGCCGACTGTCGGGCTGATGGCCGCACCGCTGATGTGCCCGAGCCACGTGGCCTCGGACAGCTTCTGCGGCGTCACGTTGAAATCGCCGCCGATGATGAAGGGAGGCCGAGGCACTGCACGGCCGACCTCGCGGCGTCCAGAATGAGGTCGGCGGCCGAGAGGCCCTCGGCGGCGCAGAGGTAGACGCTGATCCACACGAAACCCCCTTTGAGGGCGCCGCTGCGGTGTGCGATAGATGCACGGCCTGGAACGAGCACCCCGCTGCGCAGCCCGTCCACCTCGAAACGCCCGGGGCCGCGGCGCCTGGCGGCGAGGCTGAGCAAGCCTCCATGGCCTGGGCGGCCACCGTCGGCGCCGGTGGCTGGGGCGGCGAGGGCCTGCCAGCCCTGGCGGCCCAATCGAGCTGCAACCTCGGCAGCGCGGTCGGTGGAGGGCATGGTCTCCTGGGCGGCGACGAAGTCGCACTGCTTGAGGTCGCCCTTGCACGGCAGCTGGCCCAGCGCGGCGAAGGCGTTCGCGCTCAGGGAGAGGCCGCGCCAGATGCTGCCGCTGGCAGGCCGCCCCCTGGCTTGGGGGGGGCAGCGGGGGCAGCAGCCGCGGGGGGCGCTGCAGCCGCTGCTGGACCGTCAGCGAAGCCTTAGGGCCTAAGGGTCCATGGCCACCGCGAAACTTCTTGCCGACGTGCCCCCACGGGAGGGCCATCGCGTCGCCGAGCCGCTCGCGCTCTTCACCGTCAGAAGTGCGAGCAAGAAGGCCAGCAGGGTCTGCCGTAGAGAGGGCCGCCCTGAGGCGGTTGGCGTCGCACTCGTGCCTGAGCCCAGCCTGCGCCGCTGCCGGTGGGCCTGAGGGCTGCTGCGGCTGGGTAGAAGCCTCTCCGCCTGGCGGGCCCGCGTCACCCATGGGCCCGTCGGCGGAGGCTGCGGCCGGCGGTGCGGCTGAGGCCTTGGGTAAGGCCGCGACCTGCTCGAGGAGCTCCTTGACGAGGGCAGCGGGGTCCTTGTCCAACGCGCTAAGGGCGGCGACCTTTTCGAGCAGCTCCGCCGCGGGGGGCTGGGCCGCGCCAGAGAAGGCCGAGGCGGCCGCAGCACGGGCCTCCTCGTGCGCCTCACGGAGGCACGGACGAGCGCCTGCTGGGCGTCCGGCTTGAGCAGGCGGTCTGAGATGTCGGCCGCCCTGCGCTGCTCTTTGGCCTCCCCAGCCTTGGGTTTCTTGCCGATGCGCTCGAAATCCGTGGTGGCTTCACGGGCGGCACAGAGGCCGCTGGCGCGGGCAGCCCTCTTGGCTTCGACCTTGTCAACCTGCGCTTGCGTGAAGAGCTCCTTGGCGGCCTCCCACTTCTCGGCAGGCAGCTCGGCCGCGCGCTGGAGCTGCTTGTCGTCGACGCGCGGCGGATGCCACGCGTTGGCGGTGGGGCGCTGGCCGTCGGCACTCCGAGCCCACGGCGCCGAGGGTTTCCGTCCGCCCTGGCCGCCGTTGCCCCCGCCCGAGCCGCCGCCGTTGCCGCACCCGCCGCGGCGGGTTGGCAACCCTGCGGGTTGAAGGCGCCGCAACCACCACACTTCCAGAAAGACATCGCTGGCCAAATGTCCTGGAGCAAAACTGGGTGGAATGATACCACTCGGCAGCGCGCAGCTCGACCGATGAAAAACAGCAGGGTATGGCCGCGGACTAGCGGTGTCCACGCCGCCTCGCGGGAAACGTGGCATCTTGAACCCAAATTGCTACGGAGACACCGCAAAAACCGTGTGCAACACAACGCCTGTGTACACCACAGTGTTTGCGTACACTACAGCGCTGGTGTACATGTGTACACCGCAACAACCATGTGCAATTGAACGCCTGTGTACACCACAGTGCCTGTCTACACCACAGCCTCCGCGTGCAACGCAACGCGACTGTACACCAGTGCCTGCGTGCAGGACAGTGCTGATAATCGAATGCGACGTTATTCCCTCTTCCCTCCTCCTCCACCTCCACCTCCGCATCCTCCTCCTCCTCCTCGTCCTCTTCGTCCTCCTCCTCCTCCTCCTCCTCCTCCTCTTCTTCTTCTTATTCTTATTATTATTCTTATTCTTCTTCTTCTTATTATTCTTCTTCTTTTTCTTTTTTTTCTTCTTCTTCTTCTTATTGTTCTTCTTATTCTTATTATTCTTTTTCTCCTTCTTCTCCTTCTTCTCCTTCTTCCTCCTCCTCCTCCTCCTCCTCCTCCTCCTCCTCCTCCTCCTCTTGCTCCTCCTCCTTACCCCCTGTCGTGCGGGGTGGCGCTACAGCGCACGTGCGTATTTCAGCGCGCAGTGCACCGCATAATGGTCGATTGAATCGGTTTACTTGGTTCTCGCACGGCCAATTTCGCTGGAGCTTCCTGGACGCAGATGGGAAAAGTTCGGGTGATGCGGGCGGACTCGGGAGAACTCGTAGATTCCAGCGGCGCTCCTTTGTCCGTAAGGATTCCTTTTGCATTGTTTCGTTTGGAATCCACAAGCGCTCCATTTTGTCATACGGATTCCTTCTAACATTCGATATGCAAATGTGGTGCTGTCTTGCACACGGTTGCTGTGGTGCACACAGGCGCAGTGGTGTACACAGGCACTGCCATGCACGCAAGCATTATGGTGTACACCGGTGCTGTGTTGCACACGGCTGATGTGGTGTACGCAGGCGCTGCGGTGTACACAACAGTTGTTGTGCCCGCGAGCACGCTGGCACAAACTGACGCTTTGTTGCACGCGGCTGCCGTGGTTTACATAGGCGGTGTGGTGCACACAGGCGCTGTGGTGCACGCAGGCACTGTGGTGTACACAAGCGTTGTGGTGCAGATCGCCACCTACATGCTGGTGCTACCCGTCCTCCGTCATTCCTATGTATTCCCAGACGCCGCCGGCGGGAAACATGATGTCATCGACCCCCTCCGCACCCCCTCTGATGATTGCTGTGATCGGCCCGGAACACAAAACAG